AAAGCAACATGCAATATTAAAAATTTAATAATAGTTTGTACATTTAAGAGTGTATTCACATTAGCGAAAAACCGAAACTAAAATCAAGGGAATCAATACGAAATTTAATATTCATATTCAACAACAATCCCTAAAGAAGGGACAATACAAGCTATCTTTGGTAGAACACTGTGATACAGAATAGAAGATAGAAATAGGAGCACAAAAATATAACAATATGGATATCATCAACTAAGGAAGCATATAAATTATGTTTCAATCTATTCGAGAAAAACACAAAAGAAAACAACAAGACTTAATAAAACTCGATACCAATAGAGCTTGAAACAGACTCAAAGATGAAGGACGTTTCTTATTTTATTTATGTCAATATTCCAGGTCTATCTGACATTTTTTTGTCTACTCTCAAAATAGTTTTTTAGTTACTTAGGGATCCAAAAATCGATCCAAGGCTCAAACTCCTGTGAAGATCGGGTGGGTGTCATGTTGACACATAAGTTTATCCAAAAATCACATAATATCATTAGACATAAGTTCAATAACGATCAACTCCAATTTAGAGAAGTGTTTGAGATAAGTTCAAATAATGATAATAACAACTTGTTGGGAAGTTCCCGTCAAATTAAGAAGATTAATCTTGAATTCATGTAACTATTCAAAAATCTTCATTTGATTGATGACACAAAAGTTGGGAGAAAAATTTACTCAACTTTATCTATAATTGGATTTTCAACATCTACCCACACCTACAAGCCAATTCATAGTTCTATCACAACCCTCGTTAAACCACGTGTTTATTCTTTTCTCATGTAATGTTAAAACTAAAATGTCAAGAAATTAACAAATTGTCACATCTGATATCTCACAAGCACAAGTCAATCAAATTCTTATTGGAACATATATACGGGGGCAAAAGAAACACACACAAAGAAGCCAATCAAAAATAAAAATCAACCTCAGTTTACCTAATGCTCTGAAACCCAAATACAACATTTCACATTATTCATAAAACACACACAATAAAGAAGCCATATATGATGATTATGTTCCAATACTAAGTTAAAAAAAAAAAGTAAAATAAGAAAACAACATGATCAACAAATAGGATAACAACACAGGTTGAAATTCAATAATCACATTCATATTTTAACAGAATATGATATGGTCCATATGTAACATGTACACAAAAATAAAACATTAAAACTTACTCAAAATTTCGATAGAGTTGCTGTTAAATTATTAAACTAAATTATTATTTGTTAATGTATCTAGGTGGTCATGTTCTAGAATTTACATAATTCATAAATGTAAGTTACAAGATGCATGAATGTAAAATGTAGGTGAAAGGCATCTAGTAATTAGGGGAGTTTGAAAAGGTATTCTTATACCAATAAATATCATATGTGAGTCATTTGCAAGTTGTAAGAGTGAAGAAGCCAAAAAGAAGAATAATAAGATAGTCACGTTTTTCCTCTTCCATTTTCTAACAAATTGGTATCAGAGCCATTTTTGTTTGGAGATCGAGGCTTGAATAATGTCGAACGGAACCCCATTTGTAGTTCCTTCACTTACAAAAGAAAAGTATGATAATTGGTGCATACGAATGAGAGCTTTGTTTGGAGTCTATGAGTGTTGGGACTCCATGGAGAAAGGAGTCGATGAAAGTGAAGCGGCCGAAAGGAAAAAAGACCAAAAGGCGCTCACACTTATCCATCAAAGTTTGGATGAGAAGATGTTCGAGAAGGTTGCTGCGGCAACCACCTCCAAGCAAGAATGGGAAATTCTTCAAGCTTCATTCAATGGTGTAAACAAAGTGAAGAAAGTGCGTCTCCAAACATTAAGAGGTGAATTTGAGTCCCTCCGCATGAAGGAGTCCGAATCCATTTCGGATTATATCTCAAGAGTCTTGGCTATTACCAATCAAATGAAGAGGTATGGAGGCGATGTGAAAGATGATCGAGTTGTGGGAAAAATTCATAGATCGTTGGATCCAAAATTCAACTACATCGCCGTTGCCACTAAAGAGTCGAAGGACCTAGACACCATGACCGTTGATGAACTTGTGGGTTCACTACAAGCTCATGAAGAGAGATTGAAGATGCCAACACAAGAATTGGTGGAGCAAGATTTAAAAGTAATGCTATCAATCAAAGAGAAAGAGACTGGACGAGGCCGTGGAGGTGCTCGTGGTCATGGCGGACGAGGACGAGGACGCGGAAGAGGAAGACAAGGACAACATGATTAGGCTTAATTATGACTCGACGAAAAACCAAGAAAGAGGTCGAGGTCGTGGACGTGGACGAGGTCGAGGCCCAAGAGGTGAAGGATATAGGCCGAATCAAAGGCACGACAAATCAAACATCGAGTGTTTTAATTGTCATCGCTATGACCATTACGCCTGGGAGTGTCAAAGTAATCTCATAGAGAAAAGTAATCTCATAGAGAGTAACAATAAAGAAGATGTGGATCCCACTTTTCTTCTCGCATGCAAAACAAATTCGAAAGACGAGGATAGCCGATCGTATCTTGACTCGGGAGCAAGTAGTCATATATGCGGGAGACGAAATTTATTCTCGGAACTTGATGAGTCTGTTGGTGGCGACATAACTTTTGGAGATTCTTCAAAAGTACAAGTAAAAGGGAAAGGTACGATTTTGATTCATTTGAAAGCCGAGAGTCATCAAGTTATCTCCAATGTCTTTTATGTGCCTGAGATGAAAAGCAATATTTTGAGTTTGGGACAACTTTTGGAGAAAAATTGACATTCATCTAAAAGATAGAAGTTTGACTATGAGAGATGAAGATGGAAGATTGCTTGTTAAAGTCCTGATGACGAAGAATTGGATGTTTTTGTTGAACATTCAAAGTGATTATGTGTTTTAAGTATTGTTTCAATGATTCATCATGGCTATGGCATTTGACGCTTAGACATTTCAATATTGATGGCCTCCAAATGATTTGCAAAAAGAGAATGGTGAAGGGGTTGCCATCAATAAATCACCCGAACCAACATTGTGAATGGTGTATTTATAGAAAACAAGCAAGAAAGAGTTTTCCAAAGGATTCAACGACAAGGGCGCAATATCCATTGGAGTTAGTTCACTCGGACGTGTGTGGACCAATCAAACCAAATTCTCTTGGCAAAAATAATTTCTTTTTTCTATTCATTGATGATTATTCTCGGAAGACGTGGGTGTATTTCTTCAAGGAAAAATTTGAGGTGTTTTCTACCTTCAAAAAGTTCAAGATGATGGTGGAAAATCAAAGTGGTTATCGGATCAAGGCGTTTTGATCCGATCGAGGTGGTGAATTCACTTCGACCGAATTCAAAGAATTTTGTGAGATCGGACGATCCTCAATATGGTAAGAAGTATGATGAAAAGCAAGAATATGCCGAAGGAATACTGGGCTGAAGTTATTTCGTGTGTCGTCTACTTGATGAATCAGTGCTGCACGAAGAGTGTCCATGGAATGACGCCACAAGAAGCTTGGAGTGGCTACAAACCATCACTTGCGAGTTTTTGGAAGCATTGCTTACATGCATGTCCCAGAGAAAAAGCGCACGAAACTCGATGATAAGAGTGCAAAGTACTTATTCATCGGCTTTGATAATTATTCAAAAGGCTACAAGTTGTATAATCCACACAACCGAAAGCTTTTGACTAGCCGAGATGTGGAGTTTGACGAAGAAGGCGTTTGGGACTGGAGTGGACAAGATAAAAATGATCAATATAGTCCATTATATGATGAAGATGAATAAGGCGCGGTTGAACCGACACCACCATCAACACAACCGCCACAAGGTAATGAGGCAAGCTTGAGTGGTCCACAAAGATTTAGAGACCTACGAGAGCTATATGAAGCTACAGATGAGGTAACAAATTTTAGTGTATTTACTCAATTTTGTTTGTTTGCGAAAGCTGAGTCCGTAGGATTTGATGACGCGGCCCTAGACAAAAAATGGAGGAAGGCCATGAATGAAGAAATAAAATCAATTGAGAAGAATGATACGTGGGAGCTAGCGTCGCTGCCTGAAGGAAAAAGCACAATTGGCGTTAAGTGGGTGTATGAAATTAAAAGAAATGCAAAGGACAAGGTTGAAAAGTATAAGGTGAGGCTAGTCGCGAAAGGGGACAAGCAAAAGGCTGAAATTGATTATGATGAAGTTTTTGCACCCGTTGCCCGTCTGTAGACGATTCGACTGATCATTTCCATTGCTTCTCAAAACAAGTAGAAAATCCACCAACTCGACGTAAAATATGCTTTCTTAAATGGAGTTTTGGAGGAGGAAGTCTATATCGATCAACCACCAGGCTATGTTGTGAGAGGCCAAGAAGACAAGGTGTTGAAATTGAAGAAGCCTCTTTACGGCTTGAAGCAAGCTCCGCGTGCATGGAATAGTCGAATTATTCAATATTTTTGGCTAAATGGTTTTAAAAAATGTCGACATAAACATGCTCTTTACGTCAAGAGGAACAAAAATGGCGACATGTTGATTGTGTGCTTGTACGTGGATGATATGATTTTCACGAGCAATAATCTAAGGATGTTCGATGAGTTCAAGAGAGCTATGGCGAAGGAGTTTGAGATGACTGATATTGGGTTGATGTTCTATTACCTTGGCATTGAATTGAAACAAAAGGACAATGGGATATTTATTTCGCAAGAAACTTATGCAAAAGAAATCCTCAAGAAATTTGAGATGGAGCATTGCAAGCTCGTGAGTACCCTCGTGGAATGTGGAGTGAAATTATCTTTGCACGAGGAAGGTGGGAAAATTAATTTCACATACTTCAAAAGTCATGTGGGAAGTTTGAGGTACTTGACTTGTACGAGACAAGACATTCTATTTGCAGTTGGACTCATAAGTCGTTGCATGGAGGCTCCTACTTCGTCGCATTTGAAAGTGGCGAAAAGAATTCTTCGCTATATTAAAGCTACAGTTGATTACATAATTTTCTGTACAAATTCACAAGATTTTAAGCTTGTTGGCTAGTGCGATAGCGATTGGGCCGATGACGTTGATAGCCAGAAAAGTACTTCTAGATTTGTTTTCTTTATCGGAAATTCTGCATTCACATGGAATTCGAAGAAGCAACCGATTGTGACTCTTTCTACTTGTGAAGCGGAGTATGTATCTGCCACTTCGTGTGTTTGTCACGCTATTTGGTTGAGGAGTTTGTTGAAAGAACTCAATTTTCTTCAAGAAGGTCCGACTGAAGTTTGTGTTGATAATAAGTCGGCAATACAATTGGCGAAGAATCCGGTGTTTCACGAGAGGAGCAAGCATATCGATACGAAGTACATTTTATTTGAGACTATATCTTCAAGAAAGAAGTGAAGCTGGAGTACGTGAAGTTGAAAGACCAGGTTGCAGATATCTTCACAAAGTCGTTGAAGCTCGATGTGTTTAAGAACTTACGATTTTCTCTTGGAGTGATGAAGTTAGTTTAAGAGGGGGTGTTGAATTATTAAATTAAATTATTATTTGTTAATGTATCTAGGTGGTCATGTTATAGAATTTACATAATTCATGAATGTAAGTTATAAGATGGATGAAAATGTAGGTGAAATGGATCTAGTAATTAAGGGAGTTTGAAAAGGTATTCTTATACCTATAAATACCATATGTGAGTCATTTGCAAGTTGTAAGAATGAAGAAGCCAAGAAGAAGAATAATAATATAGTAAAGTTTTTTTTTCTCCTCTTCCATTTTCTAACAGTTGCAGGGCGACCAAATAGTGAAGTTAGGCGAGAAAATGAAAGAGAAAGCTTAAGGAGGAATGAGAGAAAAAAATGGCCCACCATTATTAAAAAAAATAAAAATAAAAAGAAGTATACCAATTAAACAAAACAAATTGCAAAATAGGAAAACCGATTCCAAAGTTGTTACATGTCAAACAAAGAAGGCCCTTATTGAATAAAAAATAATAAAAATCTACAGTGTTTGTACTCCTTTTATTATATAAGAGACATAGATATAGATATATATATAAAGAATAACCGTTTATTAAAAACAGTAGTAAAATATTTTGAAAACATTTAATGCATACTTTTTTTTAGAAAATTTTTAAATATATGCATTAGTTGCTTCCATATACATGTTTTCAAATAAAAATCAAATCAGATATGATCAAAATATAGTTTTTTTAAACAATTTTATTAATATCAACAATAATTTCACTGATATCCATTAAAATAAATTACAAGATTGATTTTCCGTGATTCATTATGAAAATATTTGGATGAAAATAAATGTTACAATATATTTTTAGTTCTAACTATAATATTAATTTTTTTTCACATTTATTCACTTTTTATCCAAAAATATTTATACAAAATTGTAGCAGGTTAGGCAGAATTTTTTCTTCCAATTAATCAGACAAAATGAAGTTGGTAAATTAATCTTTGCCAATATAATTTTTTCTTAAACTTTATTTTGTTATATATAAAAAATAAATTATTCTTCAAATTAATATAATTTACCATTTAAGAGATAATGAACAAATATATTAAATCATTGGTAAAAAATTAAAATTGAAATATATTAAGTAATATTTTGTATTTATTTGTATATAAATTGCAACCATGATTATTTTTTTATTTTGACTTCTTTCTATAATAAAATTCTTGTAAAACCTATTTTCATTGCAGAGTATGCTAAATAATTTATAAACCCTTATAATGAAAATGAGAAAAATCTTGATTACAGAAGGGATTGAGTTATTGACATTTGCTAAATCAAAGTTGTTTAATTAGTATACAAAATTAAATTCTAAGAAAACATGTGTGTATAATTGTAAAATATTTACACACTATTAAATTTCAAATTTATTTACATATTTTAAAGTGATTACATAAATAAATAATATTAAGCATTAAATATTTTTCATTAAATAAATTAAAAGAAAAAAAGACGTACAACTTCTATAAATTTTATAAATAATAATGACATTATATTACAATAAATTTTATAATAAAATAATAATTAAATATTATATGGTGAACAAGAATAAGCAAAACTGTTGTTTTTCTCTTATATCAAGGAATAAATATTTATACTAAAATCAAATTTATATGAACATAATGTGTTTAGATATATATTAATTATTTTACAAGCTAGCCCTAACATGTTCATATTTAATGTTCTGGCTAAAAATACAATGTTGATTAAAAGATGTGAAAAATAAATTATAATCCTATTGTGTTCTAGCCCTAACATGCTCATATTTAATGTCCTGACTAAAAATACAATGTTGATTAAAAGAGGAGAAAAATAAATTATAACCCGATTGTGTTTTAGACTTAATGCTGATTAAAAAAGGTGAAAAAGATGATACTTTTATTGTTTTTTTGACTTAAACGGACAACTTACGAAAATAGTTCATTTAACATATCCGATCCGTACATAACGAGGTATAACAAGATCAGAATCAAAGCATAGAGAGCGTATGAAGAAGACGAGAAGAGAGAAAAATATTATTGCTGAAAATGTAAAAGTGATGTTACTGTACATCTGGGAGCTATTTATATGAGAGGGATAAAACCCTAATAATACAAGAAGTGCTATTCCTAATACAAAAGTGCTAAACCTATTTTTATAATAAAAGATAAAAGACTATTTACATAATATTTATTACCCCCCCGCAAGGTGAACATGAATATTTTTCAAGTTCATCTTGGAAGAGAGTTCACTGAAAGCTGGATTTCCAAGAGGTTTTGTGAAGATGTCTGCAATTTGAGCTTTTGATGGAATGTAGGAGACAATGATTGTGCCATTGGCTATCTTTTCTCGAATAAGATGGCAGTCTAATTCAATGTGCTTGGTTCTCTCATGGAAGACAGGGTTAGTGGCAATAGATAAAGCAACTTTACTATCTGAAAATACACAAACATGAGCAGAATGAGAAGTATTCAAATCCTTTAACAAGTATAATAACCATTGCACCTCACAAGATGTATAAGCCAAAGCTCTATACTCAGCCTCAGCTGAGGATTTGCTCACAGTGGGTTGTTTCTTTGATTTCCAAGACACTAATGAATTTCCCAAAAATATTGCATAACCAGAAACACTTTTTCTAGTGTCCACACAGCCAGCCCAATCAGAATCAGAGTAGGCAGTAAGAGATAAAGAAGAAGATCTAGGATAGAATATACCTTACCCAACTGTTTGCTTTAAATACCTGAGAATTCTGTGGGCTGCAGTCAAGTGCTGTTGTGTTGGCCTTACCAGAAACTGACTCAAACTTTGAACACTATAAGAGATGTCAGGCCTTGTGATGGTTAAATATAATAGTCTACCTATTAATCTCCTATAAGCAGTTGCATCTACAGGTGTATCAGTCTTATCTAAACAAGTAAGTTTAATGTTAGCATCCATAGGAGTGGATGCTGGTTTACTTGCTAAATAGCCAGTATCATTGAGAATGTCCAAAGCATACTTTCTTTGGCAAATGTTTATACCTGTAGATGAATGAGAAATTTCCAAGCCTAAGATGTATTTCAGCTGGCCTAAATCCTTGATTGTAAAACAGTTGTCAAGATGGGATTTGATATTTTGAATTTCAGACAGATCATTGCCAGCTAAAATGACATCATCAACATATACCAATAATGCAAGGAATGACTTAGATGATTTTTTAATGAACAGAGAACAATCAGAAATGGACTGAGAAAAACCATAGTCAAGTAAACATTGAGTTAATTTATGAAACCATTGCCTGGATGCCTGTTTTAATCCATAAAGACTCTTATTTAACTTGCAAACTCTAGTATCAGATTTAGAACAATATCCAGGAGGTGGTGTCATATAAACCTCTTCATCAAGATCCCCATGTAAAAAAGCATTATTGACATCTAGTTGTTCTAAATGCCAATGATTTATTGAAGCTAAAGCAATAAGGACTCTGACAGTTGTAATTTTTGCAACAGGACTAAAGGTATCAAAGTAATCTACCCCTTCTTCCTGTGTATATCCTTTTGCTACTAGCCTAGCTTTATATCTTTCTATTGAACCATTAGCCTTATATTTAATCTTGAAGACCCACTTACAGCCTATAGGATTCTTACCTGCAGGCAATTCAGTGAGATGCCAAGTGTTGGTCTTCTCTAAGGCTGAGATTTCCTTATTCATGGCTTCCTGCCATAAGGGGTTAGTAGATGCTTGCTTATATGATTTTGGTTCAATATCATGAGAAATGGCAGATGTGAAGCATGCATGATTATCAGAAAGATTGTCCATGGAAACAAAAGATTCAATGGGATATAATGGAGATGTTCTAGAAATGTGTTGAGACTGATCAATAAAGGCTTGGTTAGAGGATGGATGGGATTGATGACTGTAGGCTTGAAGATAAGCAGGACTTTTTCTAGTTCTGGTTGATCTTCTGAGATTGTGTTGTTGGGATAAAGATGGTAAGTTTGGAGATTGGTGCTGTGAGGAAGGAAAAGCAACAGTGTTATGTTGAGGAGAAGTATGTTGAGGTGAAGTATTTGATTGTGTAGGAGTAGGGTCTTGGTTATTGATATGGGGTGTGGGAGCAGGTTGCTGCTGTACAGTTGGAGATAATGAGGGCAGTGAGTAATGGTCAAATGAATGAGGTTCAGAAAATAATGGTGTATGAGAATGAACATCAGATAGTTGTTTGAAGGGGAAGACAGTCTCATAAAATACAACATTTCTAGATATTAGTGTATTCTTGGTTTCCAAATCATAAAGTTTATAGCCTTTATGACCCAGTGGATAACCAAGAAAAATGCACTTAGTTGCTCTGGGAGCAAATTTATGTCTATGGGACTGAAGAGTAGAAGCATAACAGAGGCACCCAACAATTTTTAAATGATCAAGAGTAGCAGGTTTATTATAAAGGGTTTCAAAGGGTGATTTGTTTTGTAAAACAGGGGTGGGGATTCTGTTAATAACATGAACAACAGCTAATATGCAATCAATCCAGAAATGCAGAGGCAAGTGTGCATGAAAAAGAAATGCTCTAGCCACTTGTAAAATGTGCTGATGTTTTCTTTCAACCCTAGCATTTTGTTGTGGAGTTTCCACACAACTCTTCTGATGAATGATACCTTTTTCTTTGAAAAAATCATTGAGTATAAATTCTGTACCATTATCAGATCTGAGTGTTTTAATAGATTTGTGAAATTGATTTTGAACTAGGGCATGAAAATGTTTTATACTAGAACTTGTATCTGATTTCTGTAAGAGAGGATACACCCATGTAGTTCTAGAAAAGTCATCTACAATGGTAAGAAAATACCTGTGTCCAGCATAAGAAGGAACAGAGAAGGGCCCCCAGACATCACAGTGAATTAATTCAAAAGAACTATGTGCAACAGAGGTACTTAAAGGAAATGATAACCTTTTCTGTCTAGAAAAATGACAGATATCACATGGAGTTTTTAAGTTCACAGAGTCTGAGGTAGGAATATTAAGTTGCAACAGTTTATGAAATGAGAGATGCCCTAATCTAGAATGCCAGACATCAGAGGTTACAAGGTTATTATAGGTAGATGATGTATCATGTGTTACAAGGTTGCTGTAAGTATGTGATTTACATGTAATAGAAGAGGTTGGATCAAAATGATATAAGCCATCTTTTGCCTTTGCAGAACCAATCATCTTGTGGGATGTTAAGTCCTGTATAATGCAATGTGATGCAAAGAAATTTATTGCACAATTGTTATTGGAGGCTAATTTTGAAATGGAAATCAAGTTAAATTTGAAGAATGGGACATATAAAGCTCTTTTGAGAATGATGGATGGGGATATGGTAATGTCACCAATATGAGATGCTAATGTGCTTTGACCATTTGGTAAATTGACATGAATAGATATGGGATGCACATTAGATGTAAATAGAGAGATATCACATATCATGTGGTCTGATGCTCCTGTATCTAGTATCCATGTATATGCATTATGAGTAGAGCAAGCAGAACATGAAATAGAATTAGTTATACCTGCTGCAGAGCTGGGTTGAGTGACACAGGCATTGGCAACAGCAGGAGTATGATTGGTCTCAGATGATGATGCTTGAGATTTCTCATAAGACTTTTTAAAAGCTAAGAATTCATGAAAGAGATGGTCAGTCATGGAAGGTTCAAAAATATTCTGAGAATTGCTCTGTGAGGATGTCACAGAGTTAGCAGTGTGTTTAGGATGAATCCTGGTACCACGGGGACCATCCCAATTTGGGGGATAACCAACCAACTGATAGCATTTATCACTAGTGTGGCCTAAGTAACCACAGTGAGCATTTTGGTCGAGATTTAGTCTGGTCTTTAGGGGCAGTAGAGTGATCAGAGGTTTTGAAATTTGATTTGTATGTGTTCTTAGGAGGGAAGTGAGTTTTGACAGCCATGGCTATAGGATCAAGTTGTTTTGAAGTGGATTGAAGGGCTCGTTGGCTTTCTTCTTGAAGAAGAAGGGAATAGACTTTGTTTAGTGAGGGTAATGGTGTGGACAGGAGAAAGTGAGACCTCAGGGCAGAGTATGACTCATTCAGGCCAATAAGAAATTTGATCACAGAATCAGATTGTTGGGACAAAGTCATGGATTCAAAAATGTTGCAAGTACAGGAAGATAAAGCACCACAAGAGCAACGGATAATAGGTCTAAAAGATAGGTATTCATCCCAAAGTGTTTTGAAAGAATTGTAGTACTGAGTGATGGTCATTGAGCCTTGATCCATCGTACTTAAAGATTTTTCGATTTGGAAAACACGAGGACCACTGCTCAATGCATATCTGGTTTTTAACTCATCCCATACATCTTTTGCATTTGTAAAGAAAAGCAGAGATTGTCGTATGTCTTTGGAAATTGAATTCAGTAACCAACTCAATACGAGATTATTCGCGCGTGTCCATGCAAAAAACTCAGAACTGCTATCAGTAGAAGAAGGTATAGAGACAGTACCATCGAGCAAACCTAATTTGTTTTTGACAGATAGGGCCATGGATACGGCGCGTGACCAAGAGACATAGTTGTTACCGTCAAAGACCTCAGCCACAATGATCGCCCCGGGGTTATCACTGGGATGCAGAAAGTATGGAGAATTTGGATCGTCCGAGAGACGAACAGCCATGAAACCTGCAAGAGAAAATAAAGAATAAACAAGATCTAAAGTATAACAACACAAATTGAAATCAGAAGCGTACAAAAAACAAGAGTGTTTGTACAGATCTGATTAGAAAGTGTGCAGATCGTCAGAGATTTTATCAGAACAAAATCGAAATGAAAATGTCGATCTAGGGCAAACCGAACCAAATCGATTCAAATCTGTGAGATATAGAACAGATCAAAGTCGATGAGATTCAATTGTTACCAAATCGATGGGAGATGAACAGATAAAAGGATCGATAGATCTGGTGATAATCAACAAAAAAATCGATGAGATAGGTTTGATCTTGATATCGACCAAACAATCGAGAGATTCAAAGATGAGAAACAGTATATGCAGCGGAAAATCGAAACAAGATCGGCGATCAGCCGACGACTGATACCATAACAAGATCAGAATCAAAGCATAGAGAGCGTATGAAGAAGACGAGAAGAGAGAAAAATATTATTGCTGAAAATGTAAAAGTGATGTTACTGTACATCTGGGAGCTATTTATATGAGAGGGATAAAACCTTAATAATACAAGAAGTGCTATTCCTAATACAAAAGTGCTAAACCTATTTTTATAATAAAAGATAAAAGACTATTTACATAATATTTATTAAGGTAGGTACTAGTTTATTTTCAAATCCATATCATTTTTCTCTTGGCATCATAATTCGAATTTTTAAACAATCATAATTAGCTAAATGGGTTTAATGGCATCGTCAATCCTTTTGCATAAATTTATAACAATTAAAATTTTAGTTTCGTTAAACTAATTAATTAAACACGATCCATCAAAATTACAAAAATTACATTACTCAAGTATTTTTATGCAATTATTATAGTTATTCATATATAAGTAAAATAATTCACATTCATAGTTTTTTTTAATCAAATTTATAAAATATGATATACTATAAATATTATATCAATGCTTGTAATTTATAGTATTTATTTGTATTTGTGCAAGTGCACAAAATCGGGTACTTATAATTATTTTGCGATTATAATTTGAATTCATATTATAACCATTAAACAAAATTATAATTAATCTATAAATAATCACATTTTCATTTGGAGCTCATACTTTCAAATTTCTTATAGATAATTTCATGATTGTAATATGCATAAAATCTAATCATATTACAGGCATTATAGTATATTTTCGCAGAAAACCCGAGTCAAAGTAACAAAAATCCGTAATCAGTCAAAACTCAAAAGATTAATTCTACAAAAAAAGGTCCATTAAACAAATATTTTTATAGGGAAATGCTATAGTCTCGTTACGATACTATCTTGTCAGTTGTTTTAACTGTTGAATTTACGTGTAGTTAGATAAAAAAATAATTTAACGGTTAAAACACGACGGAATGATACCGTAACAGAACCGTAACATCTCCCTATTTTTATAATCACCGTCAGAAAATAGATGAAAATAAAACGGCCGCCAAGAAAAAAAAAAAATATATATATATACAGAGCGAGAGCAAATGCTGAAAAGCGCTCTCTCTAGGCCCCTCACCTCCGCCAGCTCCTCAGTTATCCATTTTTAGGGTTTTCAAATTCATACCGCCAAATCAAAATCACGGCTCGTCCTTGCATGAGTCGGATCTGCAATCGGAGCTCCATTGCCGGATCGAGCGCTACTCGGCCCCATCAGCTCCTCCGCCGGCAATGTCGCCGCCCAAAGCCTCCCCCTCCGCCTCCGGATCCGAGCCGCCGGTAATAATCCAAATTCCCACCTCTTTGCAGCTGCATTGCGTGATGGAGCTGTTCCGTGCACGTTTCGTTTTTTTTTTTTTTTTTTTTTTTTTTTTTTTTTTTTTTTTTTTTTTTTTTTTTTTTTTTTTTTTTTTTTTTATGTGATTTTTTCCTTTGTTTTTTCGAGTCACATTAACTGGTTCATGGGATTAAAAGGATGACGTTGTGTGTTCTTCTGGTTCTATGCTGTTCTGTCTCATGAAGAAGAAGGTACATTGTGTTGTTTTTCTATTCAATGCCTCGATCTTGTTAGTATGTTATGAATAATGTTCTCAGTTGGAAGATCATTAATGGCAGAAAGTAGAGGGCATCCGCATTTCTATACGATTCTTAATAGAAGTGGAAAGTGTCCTTTTTTAACTATGAGAACAATCTATTGTGAGCAGTAGGGAATCATGTTTGATTAGGAAATAAATTTATTTAGTATTTGAGACTTATTTTTTAATTATTAGATGGCAAGGCATGACCAGGAACTCCAGTTAGCGACTGACTGTATCATTTAATAATTCTGTTACCTGGTGATCTGTGTAGGTACTCGGCCATTGAGTATGAGTGGAATCTTGAGCTTCAGTATGGATTTTGTTTCTTTTCTCCTTCTCAGTGCCTGCATGTTGTTAATCAAATATATGTTCATTGATCATAAACAATGTTGAATTAAGTCATTATCAATTGAATGTACTACAAATATAGTGATTATTTTTGTTACCTTCAATGTATTCCGTTTGGTTATATCTATAACTTAATAATTATTATAGTGTCAATCAGTGAATTTGAAATAATTTCAGTTCAAATTTAGCTTCTTTTAAACTATGGAGGTGAAAATACTCGTGAGAATTAGCTTGTTTTGTCCATTTCCTGAATTTGATCATTCAAAAAGTCTACTGGACAGATTGCTGGGGTGCAAGAAACAAGTTCTTCTGCGGAGGAAGTATTAGCTTTAATTGATTCATTAAAGAAACAAGTTGCTTCTAACCGATCTGACCGCATAAAGGTGCGTTCATGATGCATGATCGTTACTAACCCGTTTTTCCAAGTTCATGATAATTGTTAACTCGTCTTTCTTTTCTCTTCCCAGAAACGGATGCAAGAAAATACCGAAAAAGTGGTTGATGTTATGAAGAATCTTTATAAGTTATCTATGGAACGAAGAAATACTAAGTCTAATTGTGGTTATGGGGGTGTAGATTTATTGGCAAAGAGGCAAAAAGATGCTATAGATATGCATAATGGTATTGGCATCAGTAATGGAGATAACGAAAGCAGTAGTTCCCAAGATGATGGATATGCCCCTTCAGCAATTCTCTTGGGGTCAAGCATTGCAGTCAAGAATGCCGTGCGTCCAATTAAGCTGCCTGAAGTGAAAAAATTACCACCGTACACAACATGGATCTTCTTGGATAGGTGAATCAAGACTGCAATGCACACGGAAAAATGTGTTGAACATATTCTATATTCATGCTCCTGCAAACTTAACCTCAACTTTGTCTTCCAATTGTTTTCATATTTATAAATAAAACGGTTAACTTATCACATTGATTGGCGTGTCTTCCTGATAACAACCATCCTCCGAGTTAAATGGTGAAGTCCGTAGAAAAAGCTTTGGGATTAATCATATATTGTTTTTTGGATTATTAGTTTTTTTGGCATGTAAATAATGTTTTTGAGTAAAATCTAAATTAATGGCTGATGGGTAGCATTTGTTGACTCAAGGGTTGGTGTTTGCATGTATGATCAAATACCCTTACATAGTTTAACATAAGTATCTTTGATTTCTTCTCACCATTATTTTATTGTCATCGCTAAATATACAGACATTATTTTTGTTCTGTTTTCCTTTCAATTCTTCTGAAGTAATACCTATATTCAGTTACATGAAACCTTTATTTTTGTTGTGTCAGTCATTGTGTTGCTGTTGCTTTCTAACCTTTTATTTCATTACCTTTGGATGCTTGGAAGTTTAGGCTTGTAATGGTGAATACTGGGTTCAAAAAGCTTCCACTCTGATTTTTCACATTATAAGTTTAAATAGATTGAATAAAAAAAAAAAAAAAATTGGTTGAGATTGAAGAGGACAGTAAGGATCTACTAATGTTATCATTTAGGGATTAAGTGAGTGTGCATCAGTTTTTAGTGTTGAAAAATGGAGACTAATATCCTTTGCTCTTGCCATATACCTCAATAAATTGGTTAAATTCAAAACAGTCACATGCCATCTCCAGCCAAATTTCTCCCCTGTTTATGCTTTCTGGAATGCATGGTGTCTGTGGAAACCTTGTTTGCCCTTTTACGGCATCCTAGTAAACACTAATGTTTTATTCTATAGTTTCTTTTGATGTGGTAATCATATTCTTTTATTTGTTCAGAAATCAAAGAATGACAGAGGATCAGTCAGTGGTTGGTAGGAGGAGAATATATTATGACCAGAATGGTGGCGAAGCTCTTATATGTAGTGATAGTGAAGAAGAAGCAGTTGAGGATGAAGAAGAAAAGAAAGAATTTTTAGAGTCTGAAGATTACATTCTGCGGTCGGTAGATTTGGTGCAGTGCCTGTGGTCTCGCTTTGGTCTTTCCTTTTATTTCTCTTTGGCTTAAAAATAGATTTGTTCTCCAAACGTGATCCAAATTTTGAGATTCAATGATACATTGATACTTCCCTTATTTTCTGAGTATTTGATTTTTGTTTTTTGGGTCCAGATTAGATCTCCAAAGATAATTGTCCATTGAATAATTTATCAGCCTTTCCTGCACTCTTCTGTTGGACCTTTTGAAAGATCTCTTTTCCTTTTTCTCTTTATGAACAAAAGTAGAAAGCTAATGGTAGGGTAGACATGACAGTGTTTCCATTGTTTAGGCATATGGTAATCTGCTTTTAGATAGTGTGGTAATTTATAGAATTACATATACGAACAGTCTCCGCAAAATTCTTGATGTATATTTTTCTTCTTTTCAGTGTCAAGACTGTCATTTTAGTTTCCCAGTTGCTATGTGTATGCTTAATTGAAAGGAAATTCTTATTTTGTGTGGGATAATAGGCAGGCAGAGTTAAATTTGTGTAACTGATATGATATTTTTCTGTTGCTATACCTATTTTGTATTTGGTTTTCTCAGAACAACCATCAAAGAAGTTGGCCTTTCTGATTTGACGTTGGATATGTTGGCCCAGTGTCTGTCAAGAAAACCTTGTGAAATCAAGGTATTCACTTTAACCTCAGATTACTAATGATGCAACTGTCTTTATCTTTTATTGGGCATTTCTTCACATTTATGCATTGGAGAAAACTTAAAAAGAACCAGTCACAGCGAGAACATTGGTCCAGCTGTTTCCCATTTGTGTTTGCTGGTTTTACAGAGATAAACCACCATCGAAATCTTATACAGGGAAGATATGATGATCTTATGAAGAGTAACAATGCTTTATATCGTGTGAACAATGCGAATGCTGAAAGTTTTGTGAATCCATATATTGACAAGGATCTTGATGCTGCGCTGGACTCATTCGATAACCTGTTTTGTCGCCGTTGTTTAGTAAGAATGACTTATACTTCATCTCCTCTCTCTGCTCCCTTCTTTTCCCACCATTCAGTTGAGCTTCGCATGTCAATTCATTGTTCAAATTGACATCATTCAAAACTACTCCCCTTCATGTGGCAGGTTTTTGATTGTAGACTACATGGGTGTTCCCAGGACCTTGTATTTCCTGTAAGTTGATTATTTCGTTTGATAAAGATTTTTGTTGTTATCAGTGGTCTGTCCAGGTTCCTTGTGACATCAATCTTATTTGTTTAGGCGGAAAAGCAATCAGCATGGTCATGTCAGAATGTGGAGAAGGAACCATGTGGTGCTAATTGCCATCGTCTGGTATCCAATATTTCTCACTGCCTTCTTTTGACTACTAGGATACATTGATCAACTATGGTCATATATAGACATGGCCAAAAGGCGGGACGGGCCCGGCTGGCGGTCCGAAGGGTTGGGTTACATGGATCGTGAACTGGCACGGCCTAGGTCCATGGCCCGGGTCTGGACCCGCCGAAATAAAAAAAGGAAAAAAGAAAAAATGTAAAAACAATGTGTTTTTCCGTGTCCGGGTCAGGGCCGACAAAAGCAAGGCCCTGTACCGGCCCGGTTGAAATCCGACCCGGCCCGGACCCGTGGTCAACGGGTTTGACTGGGCCGAGTCCATGGCGGGTCCGGGCCAGGTGGCCCGTGGCCACGTCTAGTTATATGCAATGCCTTACAGAGTTATAGTAACTACTTTTGGATCTCTTTGGGCCTTGGGCTAATAGTATGTTCCATTGTCAATTACTTGAAGCCAGCAGGTAGTGTCTCCTTGTTTCATCTGTTTTAAGCATTCATTACTAACTTTTTCTATAGCAGGTGCATGGGTCAGATGACAAGAGCTCTAGATCAGCAACTTTTCAAGAAAAATCTTTGGTTGCATCAAATGGAACCACTGTGCCAGTGCTAAAGAAAAAGAAGGGAGTTTCATTGGTCAGGAAGAAATCTAAGTCTTGTCAAAGTGGAAGTGTTTCTTCCTCGGATACAAAACCTGTTAATGATGTCACTTCACCTGTAAATGGTGCTGGGAAGTCTGGTGGGGACAAAAGGAGTAGTAAGAGAATAGCTGAAAATGTCGTAGTTGCCAAAAAGAAAAGGCAGAAGAAGATAGCAACATCTGATTCTGATTCTGTTGCTGCTGATGGACTCGATATGAAAAACTTAAATTGTCAAGACAATGAAGATGGTATCTCTTCTCCTAAAATGAAATCTACAAGTTCTCTGAAGTCTAGACGGAAAGTGTCCGAACCTTTGCAGGGAGATGCCATCAGTGGTGCATCTGATGAAAGTGATAGTGGCCAACCAATGTCAAGCAGTGGCAACAGCTTAAAGAAAGAGGAATTTATCGATAACACGTGCAAACAAGAAATAATTGACAATAAATATTGGAAACCGTTTGAGAAAGCTCTCTATGAAAAGGGTATTCAGATTTTTGGCTGCAACAGGTTAGACTACTTTCTGGTTTGGGTGTTTCTTTTGTATCTAAACCACGTTTCTTGTGTGAAGTTTTCTTTCATGGATATTGCCATCTTCATGTCGTTACTCTCCTAAGCGATGAGCACACTGTAATGTTTTCCAGTTCATATTTATCAACTAAATAACAGATAGATTAGCAATTTTGTAAGTATAATTGCTAACCAAGCCTTTTCACTCTACATAGACTTCATTTTAGTTAAGCGCACTGACTTTTTGGGTTGCACTTAATGTATCCTATTTCTAAGGACGGACTGTATGTCATTCAGCTGCTTGATAGCTAGGAACCTCATGAGTGGCTTGAAGACTTGTTCAGAGATCTTCAAATACATGCATCGTTCTGACAAAAAGATGTCTCAAGATGATGATGGGATGATCCTTCCAGATGGCTGTCTCAAGGCTGATGTCAATGAAATTGTGGCAAGTCTTTTATATTTCTTATTTGCTGTGATAAATGGCTTCGCCAAAGTAGATTGTGTATGTTAATTTTGTGTGGAATAGGGCAATGGTGCACGTAGAAGATCGAGATTTTTACGGCGAAAAGGAAGAGTCCGTCGCCTAAAGTACACATGGAAATCTGCAGGTTCTCAGTCCTTCAGGAAAAGGATTTCTGAAAGGAAGGATCAGCCATGTCGGCAGTACAGTCCCTGTGGATGCCAATCGGCATGTGGGAAAACATGCCCTTGTCTTATTAATGGTACCTGCTGCGAAAAATACTGCGGGTGAGCTGGCTATATTTGATTTTGCTGTTTCTGCCATAATTAGGTTTGGGTTTTTTCAGTTCATGTTTTGAATTCTCTGTCCCTCTGCCTTTTATGTTCTTTTGTTTGTGCCTTAATTGTTTTTTTTGGTCTTCTTCACCGTGAAGCTGCATTCTGTCCATAAAATGAAATGTTCATATTCTTCAGGTTCAGGTACTAATCATTCGCTAAGTTTTATTATATCCTATGTGTCAGATGTCCAAAGAGCTGCAAGAATCGCTTCAGAGGCTGTCATTGTGCTAAGAGTCAGTGTCGAAGCCGTCAGTGCCCATGCTTTGCTGCTGATAGGGAGTGCGACCCAGATGTATGCCGGAATTGCTGGATAGGGTGATTCTTCCACTTAATGTCTTGTTTTATCCATGTTTACAATATAAGATTAACCTAGAAATGGTCATTGTTTGATGTATATGGACAAACTGTAGTTGGTAGATTGGGGATTTTTTTGACATGCTTCCATGTTAGGAGCAAAGGAAACTAGTAACTAAGAAGTCCAACACTCGCAAAGTTGTGCTTGGACACATTTAAATTACTAAAGTATCAGTTGAGGGTGAGATGCCATGAGCACGATCATTGCTTGCATCAAGGAGATTAATATTTAAAGCTTAAACATAGTACAAATTGTGTTTTCAGAGAGTTCCTTGTGGATCATGGTTGCCAGTAGCAATGAAAGTTTAAATTTTTGGTTCAACAGAACCAGTGGGCACTCCCTTGAACTTGCATCTTCCTCGCTTGAAATTTATTGTGACTATTTTTTTACATATATACTCAGAGATAGTTCTTATACAAATGTGGAACCTTTAATTGAATATAATATTGCATGTTCATGTCTATGCTTTCATGTGTATATATATACATGCATATGCATATAATGCCGAGAATAAAAGATTCAGGATCAGAGGGTGGGGCTCCTGGACAAGGATGGAAAGGTGAAACAAAAGATTGGCAAAAGGAAAGATAAAAGTAGTAATGAGTTAGGACCCTCCCATGTACGGGTTCTTGGCTGAATATTTTGGGGTAAATATGTGAATCAAATGTTTTTTGCAAAATTGGATAGGTGGTCGCTTTTAAACTAACAAGAATTTTTCACAATTGACAAGGGCTTCTTTCATTTTCCCGGGAATGATACTTTCCTTTGTCTATGGAATTGTTTTGCATTGCACATATGAATTGATAGGATTAGTTTGGTATCAATTGTGATATTCAAGTTTCTGTTTGGTACCAACTACCAATATTCAAGATTATGCATTTTCTTAGGGCTGCAGATGGTTTTTTATTTTGCAAAGTTGTATTTATACTGTTTGGTTTTGTTTGATAGCTGTGGTGATGGCACCCTGGGGGTACCCTTCCAAAGAGGTGATAATTACGAATGCAGGAATATGAAGCTTCTTCTAAAGCAGCAACAGAGGGTAATTTTGACCTATATGAAGCTTATACAATTCTTTGTTCCTCCCAATCTGCAAGATTAAGCTCCAAATGTTTCCTATGTTGCTTGACCTGTATGTCAAACTTGCATTTTTCTCGGATAAACTCATTATATATTCTCAATTGGTATCTTGAAGGCTTAATATTTTGAAATGGCTCGTTGTGTAATTTTCGTTTTCCATATGAGTGACCTCTACCCACCAGAAGTGTTCTACTAACTCTTCTATTATAATTATTTTGATATTGAGGTGGTGTTTGGAGCCATGATGTATCAATAATGCATTTTCACTTTTGACCTCAAATAATATCTATTAAGTGCACTACTTTCTTGCTGTAAGTTTCTTAACTGATTGAGCATGCATGAAATGCAAAAGCTGCACTGTTTTCTTGCTTTCCTGTTGCTGTAATTTTGTGTTGCACTGTTCTCTTGCTTTTCCGTTGATGCAATTTTGTCCGTCATGGTATTATTTGTCCAGCCAATTTTCATGGTTTGAATAGTTTTATTGAATATCATGAGTTTTATTTAGTACCTTGAGGAGGATGGTTATAACAAACTATCATTTATTTCCTTTTGCTAATTCCCATTTTCAGGTTTTATTAGGAAGATCTGATGTATCTGGCTGGGGAGCTTTCTTGAAGGTACAACATATACAGGTTTTAGGCTGCTTTCGGTCCGCTTTCCTCTTTAAAGCTCACATAACTTGAATTGCAGAATAGTGTTGTGAAGCATGAATACCTTGGAGAGTACACTGGTGAACTTATTTCACACCGTGAGGCTGATAAGCGTGGCAAGATCTATGATCGTGAAAATTCCTCATTTCTGTTTAATTTAAATGATCAGGCATGTTTTATCTTTACTTCTATTATGGCGTCAGAAAACGATTAGTTCTATAAGAAAGTGCTCTTATGACTTGTGTGTTTTCCCTTGTTATGGTTCAGTTTGTGCTTGATGCATACCGTAAGGGCGACAAACTGAAGTTTGCCAATCATTCCCCTGTTCCGAATTGCTATGCTAAGGTAAGTGGTTTAAAAGGAACATCTCAACAATTGTGCCTCTGACCTAATATCACTTTTTTCTTGCAAGAATATATTCACCATGTTACATATATATGTGTGTGTATATATATACGTGTGTGTATATATGCATATATATAATGGTTATTTCTTACCCAAGAGTGATACAAATATTTAGTATGGTGATGTACGATTTCTGGTGAATACCTTCTCGAACCCCAAAATATTCTTTCATTTTTCTACTCTTGATTCTTTTTCCTTTTTTTTTTTTTT